ACGTATGCAAAAAAAATTTAAGACGATTTTGAGCAATATAAAATTTTACGCGCGCATTAACGCGCGCACGTACGCGTACGCGCATTTTTGAACGCATTTATTGACCTGAAATTGACGGGACAGATATTGACCTTGATCGTGATAAATATGAATGAGAAATGGCTTTCTGTTATGAAGATATGATCATGAGTTGATTTTCACAAAATGGCGCCTGGATGACGTCACGATGACTTTGAGTCTTTGAAAAGTCACACAGTTCTAAGTTAGACTAAGATCTATCATCATTGAAGGATTCATGATTATGGCTTTTTTCATTCTGGAGATATCCTGCGAACAAATTCATGGCAGAATAATAAAAATAATAAAGAAAATCTTGACGAAATCAAAAGGTGATACGTCTACGTACGTATCACCTAATAATAATAATAACTAGACATATAATACTTGTTTGGAACAAGTATAGGTGGGCTGGTCAACTAACATTTGAGATAAAATAGAGCAAAAATAAGCGACATACTGCTTACAAATTCTTAAAAGACAATATCATGTAGATTCATAACGTGAACTAAATTCACCTTCTATAGGCATAACACGCAAATTATGAAGTTTTTGACATGAGGCCTTTAATCGTAATTTTCACTATGATGACGTCATCAAAATGAAAAATGGTTATTACTGCGCTTGTAGAGAATTGTCTTAGCTACAACATATCGAAATTTGGAAGAAAATTGATCAATATTTACAGAGATACAATCAATTTTACATAAATATGCTGACGTCATAATATGCAAATTCGTATTTTGAGTTCCAAGGCCATTAAGATGATGTCACGATACACTTAATGGCCAAATGAGACATGAAATCATATCTCCGACTCATACTCTTTTCAAATATCAAAACAGAATTGGGGTCCAGGTGCATCCCAAAGAGCTATAATGAATTGTGTATAGGCATGTTTTTGCCCATGTATGTTATGTATTACAAGAGCTCGCGCGCACGGACATTTATGTTAAGCGAACGCTCATTCCGTTAATAATAGTCATAAAGAGATAAACATGGTATCAATTTGTTTGTAAAAATATGGAAAATATCTTGAAAGAAAAAAATGGCGATTCTATGTTTTGTAATGGTGTTACGCGCGAAAACGCGCGCGCACGCACGTGTGCGCGATTTTTGCGCGATTTTTTATAAAATGCTTAAAATGGCCTTAAACGTATGCAAAATAAATTTGAAACGATTCTCAGCATTATAAAATTTTGCGCGCGCACTAACGCGCGGACGTACGCGCACGCGCGCGTTTTTTGACATGAAATTGACCGGACTGATATTGACCTTGATCATGATAAATATGAATGAGAAATGATTTACCGTTATGAAAATATGATCATGAGTAAATTTTCAGAAAATTTCACAAAATGGCGCCTAGATGACGTCATCAGTCAAGGTCAAGGTTTTAAACCTTACCGTGTTTTCTCCATATGCCTATACATATGTGTGCCAAATTTCAAGTTATTTGATTTAGCCATTTTCAAGTTATCTTGTTAACAAAAAAGTGGTTAGAAATAAAATAAATAAATAATAATAAAGGCAATTTTAACAAAATTATAAGGTGGTCTGTATAGATACAGCCCACCTGATAATAAAGAAAATCTTGACGAAATCAATAGGTGATACGTAGACTTCGTTACGTATCACCTAATAATAAAGAAAATCTTGACGAAATCAAAAGGTGATACGTATATTTCATACGTATCACCTAATAATTACCTAATTGCGTACTGAAAAGACCAAACTGACAACGGGACGCATTAAGATCCAAATGCATGAAATGGTATGTTTGGCATTTAAGATTGCTCCCCAAAAAATAATTAAATTTAAAAAGAAAATGAATAAAAAAATTAAAGAAAATGAATTAAAAAAAATATATATATGTATATTTAAAAAAAAAAAGAAAAAAGAGCGGCCCGAAAATGACGAGCGGGCGGTCGAGGACAACCAAACAATTTTTATTTATTTTTTTTTTTTTTTTTGGGGGGGGGGGGGGGCCTTACCGTAAACTGGTATATTGCCAACATGCTATGACAAATTTTGTCACAGCTAGTCAAATGTGCATTGATTTGAGTACAATCAGTTGTTGTAATTTGTAATTCACCCTAAAATATGAAAAAGTCTTATTTTTAAGAAAAGTGGCAAAAATGTTCAATTATTAGAATATATTAGATCTATGACTTGTAGTGAGCAGAGGGCCAACGTCAGATAAGAGGAGTTTGCCTACCAATACCTCACAAACTAAGCACACCTTGTTTATTTGAAAGATTTTATCATGATAAACAAAATGTTTCATAGGTTTAAACAAAACAAAAAATGATTTGTTTCTGATTGCTTTGTTCCCTTCCTCCACAAGATTTAGTTATTTTTATATCAAAAAAGGGTATAAGAGTATAACCAAAATTTGAATGAAATATTTCATCTAAAGTCTCTTGGCTTGGTTCATAGAAGAAAAGCACTATTGATTATACAACCTTTCAAGTTGGAAAAGCATTTGAAAATATCCAACCTATTAAGTGCAAATTGAATTGAATTCACGGATTTTGAAGATGTCTCATGTTCTGAACATTATAAGAGGCAACAATATTTGTGCTAATGCTCAACCCACACAGTTTATGTGTACAAGATATGAGAAGCCAAGTTATGACCTTTACCAATGGTCATGAATGCTTTAAATCTCTTACATACTTGTGAATGAAGTTAGAAGGACATACCATTGTAATGTAAATGTGCTTTGATTCCTTTTCAGTTAATAGAGCAGGAAAGAGGAAAGGGGTCTGATGATTTAACTAAAGAATCGGCATCCACATCCAAGGTTTGTGTGCATGAGATTTTCATTTCCATTTCCTACTTCCGGTCCAAGTTTATACCCAACATGACATTTTTCTATAAGAACAGCCAATGTATTTTGTTGCCATAAATATGGTAAAAAAAAGCTTATCAATTTCATTCAAGTTCTGTTTTTGTTTTGTTTTATTTCCACTTTTTCATATCAATACAAAGAAACATCATATGAATAATATGTAAGTTTGACAAGATATGTTTCTCGTTAAAATACAAGTTTCTTACAAGGTAAAAGCAGGAGAGCGCATATCGTAAGCGTAAATGCCTGATGATGACCGTGGCCTCGTCCGAGTTAGCAAAATAAATGAACAACCCATGCAAGGGATGCGATTAAAAATCTATTTATCATTTGTATTATAAATTGATGTGTTTTATTCATTATTAAATAAAGTATAAATGAAGTGATTAAAAGTGAGCATGGCTGAATTAATTTTAAGTGAAAATAACAAAACATATTTAGTGAAATATTTCGTGTTGAGAAGTGCATTAATTTGTGCATAGTGCAAAACTTTAGCTTGGTGGAACAAAAAGAGACTAATACCGTGATATTAATTGTGTGGTGGTTTCAGTTACGGGTGATAATATTAAATGTATGCAGGGTCCATTCCTGTTGACAAACAATTCAAGACATAACAAATTAAATTATTTAAAATTTCTATGTAAGATCTATCAAACTATACTAAGTTAACAAATATGTTTTATATAAGCTTTAAAAGAATAAAGGGAGGTCCTAGTTTTAATATGGTTTGGTAGGTTATTTCCAAATATCTAGTCCATGGTGTCTAATGGTGGCTAAACTGTGAGTTTGGGATTATTAAGATGGTAATCATGAGCATGTCGAGTTAAATATGAGTGTACGTTTACAATTAATAAACAAAAGTTTAAGAAAGATGCTGGAAGTGTTTTGGAAGTGTACTTAAACATAAAAATGGCAGTTTGGAGCGTATATATATCATAAACCTTTAATGTTTTTAATTGACTAAATAACGGGTTTGAATTTGCCAAATAGTTAGAGTGTGTACAAATACGAATTGCTCTCTTCTGCAAAAGAAATATTGAGTTTATTTTAGTTTTACTAAAGTTTGCCCATATAATATTGCAATATGTTATATACGGTAAAATTTAAGTATTATAAAGAATAAACAAAGATCTATCATTTATCAAACATTTCATTTTATACAAAATACCAATATTCCGGGCTATCAAAATATTTATATTATGACTGTGTTCGTTCCAAGACAAATTTGAGTCAATAATAAGTCCTACAAATTTTGTTGATTTTTTTTCTACCAGGGATAAACCATCTATAAACAAATTACATTGTGGTTGGTCTTGGCAGTTAATAGTTCTAAAACGGATAAAATTAGTTTTACTTATATTTAAGGATAATTTATTACATTTAAACCATATTGAAATATTACACAAATCATGATTTACAGTATCAACAAATGTATCAATATTTTGTTGTGTGTAAAGTATATTTGTATCGTCGGCAAAAAGAATGTAAGTTAGAATATTTTATGATTTTATTATATCATTTACATAAATCAACAATAAGAGCGGGCCTAAGATGGAGCCTTGAGGAACTCCACATGTGAGGTTCAATTTTGAGGAACTATTTTAATGATAGTAAACATACTGTGTTCTATTTTTAAGATAGTCCTCAAACCAGGATAGAGCAAGGCCTCTGGTACCAAAATGTTTTAGTTCATGAAGTAAGATTGTATGATCAATGGTATCAAAGGCTTTACTCATATCCATAAAAACACCTATAACACGCTCCTTATTTGCAAGAGATTCAATTATTTTATCATTAAAGCAAAATCAGTTGAATGATTTTTCCTAAATCCAAACTGGTTAGGAATCAAAATATCGTGCTCATTCAAAAAAGAAATCAATCTTTTATATACCGATTTCTCAAAAACCTTTGAAATACTTGATATTAATGATATGGGACGATAATTTTGAACTTTAGATGGGTCCTTTTTAATTAATCGGTATAACTTTAGCAACTTTTAATAAGTTCGAGAGAGAAATATTACATATATGAACCAATGGAGAAACAATAAAGTGTATTATTTGCTTAATGATCGAGATTCATACTTAACCCATCTGGTCCTGATGACTTGCTTTGAATGATTTGAATATTATGTAGAATAATATAGTCCGTTTGATATGTAACGTTAAGCATGTAAAATGTTTCAGTTCGTACTAGTCTCAATATAAACAATCGTTTCACCGTGGTTGCATGTGCAGTGACTTGTGCAAGTGCTAAAATAATACAACGAATGGTGAGTGAATAAACGGATCAACGAATTACAGCCATTGGTGGCGGTTCCGGTTTAGTACTGACCACCGCCAGTTCAGGAAAAAAAGGGAGAAATAACTAAACATGAGAAAACGTACAGTATTAAAGGCAAATATGCGTGGGTACAAACAGGGACAGGTAAGAGGAATGCAGGTTAGAATGGATTATTTAAATGCGCAAGAGTGTATAGGTTACGAGGCTCCAAGGAAAGGAATCAGGGTCTCCCATTCATATGCTACAACATTCTTGATTGTAAACACAAGGAATATATACTACAATAAATTGTATCGACACAATTAACAATGTATTTTCATTTGACTTTATTTAATAATAAGAATGTTACACCTGCGAATTACCAAGTGTGATAGCTATAAATTAAGAAATCAAAGACCCTGGGTAATCCGCTTTGTATGAGAAATCAGTCTTCCCCATTTAAAACAATGATCTTCTCTCTATCTTTTTAAAGGTTAATTTTTATTAAGGTTCATAATTCCAAAATACAAATTTTCCCATACCTTTAATATCTCCTGGGGAAAAAACCCCTGTAACAACCATCTTTGAGGTCACTATATCCTGTTTGGATGACATGCTTTGTAAATGCTTTTCTCTTCTCTACTCATTTCAGATGTTCAACCCAGAGTTGTTTGATTACGCAACACCTCCAAACAAGAACAAACTAGATTTTAATTAGTTCCTCAATGCTTTGTTCCCTCTTTTCCCAAGTTTTAGTTTTGTTTAAGGCATGTAACCGTGTATAATAGGGTATAACCAAAATTTAATGAAATCTTTTTTCATCTAAACTCTCTTGGCTCGGTTAATAGAAGAAAAGCAGGTTTGATTATACAACATTTCAAGTTCGAAAAGCATCTGAAAATATTCATACCCATTTAGTGCAAATTGAAATGAATTCATGGATTTTGAAGATGTCTGATGTTCTGAACATTATATGAGGCAACGATCTTTATGTAATGAGGAACCCACTGTTTGTGTGTTCAAGATATCTTTCGGAGATCATGAGAAGCTTAGTTATGACCTCTACTCATGGACGTAGATGCTTAAACTCTCATTCGTACTTGTAAATAGAGTTGGGAGAAAGCTACATTATAATATAAATATGCTTTAATTTCTTTTCAGTCGATAAAGCAGAAAGGAGGAAAAAGGTCTGATGTTTCAACTACAAAACTGGATGCCCTAACTAAGGTTGTGTGCTTGAGACTTTCAGTTATATTTCTTACCTCTGGTCAAAGTTTATACCCAACATGATCTTTTACTATATAAACTGGCAAGTTTTTCACTGCAATGATTATAGTTATAAAGAATGCCTTCACTTAAAAAGCTGTGAAAGCTATATAATAAGGAGGCAAAAAGCTTGTGTAGCCTGCCTTGTCAGAAATTTCAGTCTTTCAAATGGAAAGCGATGATCTCTTTTTTATAGTGTGCATATGCCCCTCAATTCCTATTGCCTACATTTAACATGCGTAATAAATTGAAATGTCTCATAATATAATATAGTATTTCTCGTCAGCTCCCCCCCCCCCCCCTCCCCCTCCATCCGCTAGCTCCCGATCCACAGATGGTTTTGGATCTGCAGAAAATAACATAAATAAATACATTTACATTCCAGGCACAATGTTTAGATGAATGGTCATATAGTGCTTGTCTTTCTGTTTTGTTAATACAAACTGATTATGAATAACAACTGCCATAGTAATATGACAAATCATGTCACAGCCAATCAAATGCATCGCTTTTAGTAGGGTACAAAATTATTTTGTAACTTGTTATTGAACTGAAAATATGAAATTCTCTAGCCTTTTGGACAATTAGCATAAAATATTCAGTTATACATGTATGTATGTGAAAACGGCAGAAAATGTCTGGCTCAAAGACTCACTCAAAGCCTGGACATGAATGGTTCGAAAATACTCTGGACTGAACCACAACATATTCAGAACAGAATTATTGGTAAAAAGTATATAATATTAGGTCAACTACTTGTAGTGCCAGGATCATCTTGCTAAGGAGAAAATAATTTGAAACTCTCATCCTACTGGTTGAGGAACAACTTGAATGAGAAAGAGCCAACCAAATATTTTTAAAGAAACGAATGACAAAGTTGCCTCTCCAAAAATCCTGGGTGATCTGCCTTGTCGAGTAATCAGTCTACCCCATTGAAAACAATGAACTCCTTTGGTACCTTGAAACCAGACAAAACGCATTTATAGATATATGATCATATTGGGGTTACTTGTCTTCCCGAAGGTTTATTTTTCTGAAGGTGTATATATTCCATAAGATGAAACAACTTCCCCATACCTGCAATATCCCCTTAGGGAAAACAACTCCAAAAACAACCCTCTTATGGGACATAATGTTCTGTTGGGATCAGATGTTTGATAAATGCTCTTAAATTCTTTCTCAACTCTTTTCAGATGAGCGATCTCCGAGGGTCGTCTAGGTCGTCTGGCTACGTAAGTCAAAAATGCGAGGTTTATATGCATAATTTGTAGCCATTGAACACTTTTGCAAAGTCCATGTGATCTGTTATGCTAAAGAAGATTGATTGATTTCTTAATAACTTTCCATGTCCGAACTACCCATATTCAAAGTTTAAAACACCTACAAAATGAACATATTAGATTTTGATTTTATATTCAACGTCTTGTCTTCTCTTTCAACATTATTTAGTCCTCACAAAATAGTGTAGTAGGGTATACCCAAAATTGGTTGAAAACTCTATCAATGTCGTGTACCCCCCTCCACCTTGCAGCAGTTTCAGATTTCAGTTTAATATTTTACTGCTGTTATGTCAGTGCTCATATGCTACTTGATGACAATCAAGCTCTTTAGCATTTTATATTACAATACCCTAATGCTCTTTATTTCACAGCTAATTTATTGTGAATTGCTTTTAGTAGTATCACTAGTAACTTGTTATTGATCAGCATATACGAAACCGTCTAGCTTTTGGACAAGTAGCATACAAATATTAAGTCATACATGAATTTGTATTGTAAAACTGCAGGAAATGTGTGACTCAAAGACACCCTCAAAGCCTAGACATGAATGGTACGAGAATACTCTGGACTGATAATGGAACTACAACATATCCAGAACAGAATCAGTAGTGAAAAATATCTAATATTAGATCTATTACTATTTGTAGTGTCAAGAACTTTCTAAGGAGAAACTCATTCAAAACTCTCATCCTACTGGTTGAGGAACAACTTGAATGAGAAAGAGCCAACCAAATATTTTTAAAGAAACGAATGACAGAGTTGCCTCTCCAAAAATCCTGGGTGATCTGCCTTGTCGAGTAATCAGTCTACCCCATTGAAAACAATGAACTCCTTTGGTAGCTTGAAACCAGACAAAACGCATTAATAGATATATGATCATATTGGGGTTACTTGTCTTCCCGAAGGTTTATTTTTCTGAAGGTGTATATATTCCATAAGATGAAACAACTTCCCCATACCTGCAATAGCCCCTTAGGGAAAACAACTCCAAAAACAACCCTCTTATGGGACGTAATGTTCTGTTGGGATCAGATGTTTGATAAATGCTCTTAAATTCTTTCTCAACTCTTTTCAGATGAGCGATATCCGAGGGTCGTCTACGTCGTCTGGTTACGTAAGTCTAAAATGCGAGATTTATATGCATAATTTGTAGCCATTGAACACTTTTTCCAAGTCCATGTGATCTGTTATGCTAAAGAAGATTGATTTCTTAATAACTTTCCATGTCCGAACTACCCATATTCAAAGTTTAAAACACCTACAAAATGAACATATTAGATTTTGATTTTATATTCAACGTCTTGTCTTCTCTTTCAACATTATTTAGTCCTCACAAAATAGTGTAGTAGGGTATACCCAAAATTGGTTGAAAACTCTATCAATGTCGTGTACCCCCCTCCACCTTGCAGCAGTTTCAGATTTCAGTTTAATATTTTACTGCTGTTATGTCAGTGTTCATATGCTACTTGATGACACTCAAGCTCTTTAGCATTGTATATTACAATACCCTAATGCTCTTTATTTCACAGCTAATTTATTGTGATTTGCTTTTAGTAGTATCACTAGTAACTTGTTATTGATCAGCATATACGAAACTGTCTAGCTTTTGGACAAGTAGCATACAAATATTAAGTCATACATGAATTTGTATTGTAAAACTGCAGGAAATGTCTGACTCAAAGACACTCTCAAAGCCTAAAACATGAATGGTACGAAAATACTCTGGACTGATAATGGAACTACAACATATCCGGAACAGAATCAGTAGTGAAAAATATCTAATATTAGATCTATCACTAATTGTAGTGCCAAGAACTTTCTCAGGAGAAATTCATTCAAAACTCTCATCCTACTGGTTGAGGAACAACTTGAATGAGAAAGAGCCAACCAAATATTTTTAAAGAAACGAATGACAGAGTTGCCTCTCCAAAAATCCTGGGTGGTCTGCCTTGTCGAGTAATCAGTCTACCCCATTGAAAACAATGAACTCCTTTGGTACCTTGAAACCAGACAAAACGCATTTATAGATATATGATCATATTGGGGTTACTTGTCTTCCCGAAGGTTTATTTTTCTGAAGGTGTATATATTCCATAAGATGAAACAACTTCCCCATACCTGCAATATCTCCTTAGGGAAAACAACTCCAAAACAATCCTCTTATGGGACATAATGTTCTGTTGGGATCAGATGTTTGATAAATGCTCTTAAATTCTTACTCAACTCTTTTCAGATGAGCGATATCCGATGGTCGTCTACGTCGTCTGGTTACGTAAGTAATTCCC